ACAGGCTCAAGGTTGACCCATCCTTCCATCCTTCCGAGGTCGGTAAAATGAGGAGCCAGATTGTTGGGGGCAATATGCTGACTCTGTAGACCTCTTAGAGAGGGCTGTAAAGCACTGTGAAGCAGTATATAAGTCTAAGTGCAATTGCTATTTGCATTTTATTTTATTTCAAAGCTTTACCACACCGCATTCATGTGGCCGGGAAAGTTTTAACTTTTTTTTTATTGATAGCTGGTGCCTATACATTTTAAAATATGTGTCATTATCTTTAAGCAGTAACTCTTTATGGAAGCTCTTTTTTCTGGGACTCACATGACTACTGCTCCACAATTCCAGGAAAACATGCAATTAATTTAAGACATGTTGACAGATATTATGCAAAATCGTAAGGTTGAATGACCTCAGGGGCCATTTGAAACAGGGTCATATATAATTTTGGAGTGTCTGTTGTAACTTTGAACATTGGTTAAGTCAACTATCGTATCTCAAGGACTACCTGTATTGCACTGAAATCATAAGCTTAAGTTAATCCCCTTTTTTTAGTAGGAGATCAGCTTTTCTGCTCAAACTGTGTACACTTTCAAAAGGATGCTGAGACATTTGCAATGCATGTTTTGACTGCTGCAGCTGATTCATAGATTGAAAACTGCTTTGTATGAAAGCTTATGTGTGAATAGACAATATAAAGAATGGTTGAATTTGTTGGCTCTCTTCTTCCATCCTATTTACTAATCCTATGCTTTAATGAACCAATTATTAAAACTGTTGCTAATGTGACAAAATAATGTTTTTTCAGCCTGATGTTGAAGCCTGAAAAAATCCCTGCCTGCTTTAAGGAATAGCAGGAGGTTATATGAATAGCAGAGAGGTTATGTGGACACTCTATGTATAAATATTTCTTCTAAATCATTTTTAAATCAGCTACTGTCCTAACAAATACTGGAGAGCAACTGTTATAGAGTGTAAAGAGGAAGGTTTCCATTGTTTTACAGGTATTTTTCTCTGTTTCTTGGTATAGTGTAACTAGTCTTTCCCAAAAATGTAGACATTTCCTAATTATTCCTCATCTTAATCCTTTTGAGCCTAACTTACTTTAAACCATGTTCTTTGCAAAAATCTTGTTATTCTCCTGATCAGGCCAAGATAGAATTGTACCAGTTCCGATCCATATATAATTAGAAATGAACCTAATTATTAATGGATATGAACTAGTCTAAAAATAGCTCAGTCAATTTAATAATTGGAGTTTACTGAAAGGGGTAGATAATTCATATCTTATCAGAGCATAATCTATCTTTCACTAATTGCTGTAAAGCCACAGTGAATCAGCACTGTCTTGTTAATTGCAATATATCCATCATTTTGGGAACCTAGTGTTCCACAGTTTCATCTGGAACACTTCACACTGCTTCTGGATTTGTGGATTTAATCTTAGAAACTGCCAGACAGGCTTGGGGTGGTATAATTTGGGAGGAAATTTGGTTTAGTCTGAAAAGATAGCAGTATTCTTATTTCTAGTTGAAACGAAGTAGAAAAGACCATTGATTTTTAGATTGGTTTGCTTTTGAATAATTGTTTGGGGTTTTCTTTGAGGTTTTTTTCTTTGTTCTTTTAAATGATTTACCCCTTAAAGGATTATCTAGTATTAAAACTTTGCTTTCAATATTTAAACGATATTTAATGTATTTCAGACCTTTACTGTATTATTCCAAATCCTAATTTTATCATGATTTTTCACCTTCTGCTTTCTTTCTTCGTATAATAATTGTGCTGTAAGAAAAAAAATGCAGTTATCTTCATTCACTACTCCTAGAATGGATGCCAGGATTTAAATATTGTAGGCAAGTGTGCCAATGCCTTTGAGTTTCTAATTTCTTTCTGCAAAGAGTTTCCATGTTGCTCAGATAATTCATTTGAGTAGAAAGCTTAATATAAGACTAAAAAGTAAATGCCGCATCATAAACTTTATTATGTGTCATGAAAACCATTATTAAGAAAATCCAGCCAAGTATAACGTTGGCCATGTTTTTGTATATTGATCTGGCTCTTAGCGGGTGTGCCTAAGTTCTCTTTAGGGGCCATCATGTATTTTATTATTGAATTTTAATTGAATAAAATGAGGTAATTGGGACGCCTCTTTTATACTGTTCTATATTATTGTATCCTACCCAGAAATTTGGAATTGGGCATTGTAAAAAAGCTTTTGATAAGTACACCAATGAATATTCCCCCTAAATCCATAGAATCAGTGTTTTGCTTCTGGGACTTACTTTATTAATATTTAAATGATAAAAAATAAACTTGTGTGCCTGTTTTAATTAAATACATTTTTTTTATTTTCTTTTAATCTGCCATGAAATCTATGATGATTAACTAAACATCAAGTATTGAATGATTTTATCAGGGCTTTTTTTGTCATAGAACGCCTAGAACGAAGTTCCGGCACCTTTTTTGGATGGAACCTTGTAGAGTAGGCAAGGCGGGCTGTATGATGTGTGTGAGTTCCGGCACTTTTTTTTTTTTTTTTACAAAAAAAGCATTGGATTTTATTAAAAACATAGTTTCCTGTTTAAAATTTATTTAGAACTGCTTTGTCCAGCTTGGTACT